AGGTCAGACTAAGCAGTTTTAGAATCCAGATCACCTGCAGCAGAAAGCATCTTCGGGAGCTTGTGAAAATGGCAGATTCCTAGGCTCTGCCCCTGACCTATGCAGTCAGTCTGGGGGTGGACAGTGCCCAGAAATGTGTATTAACACAACTCCCCCAGAGGTTCTGACACACAATGTTGAAAGATGAGTCTCCATGAGACTTTGGTCCGAGGTGGGCAGAAGAATGAGCTGCGCTTTGATCTAAGCCTGCTGGGATGGCTCTGACACGTTTCCATGTTGTAAGAAAGCATTCTTAAAGCCTTAGAGCACCAGCAAGAAAAAGCGGAATATTGCGGTCTGTTATATTATTTCCAAGTCCCCAAAAAACAGATACACCGCCCCCTCATGCCTTCTTTTTGGCAGTCACAGGAGGCCAGAGCGGCCCAGAGGGGGGCTGAGCAACGGAGCGGCCAGGGAGCTGCACGGAGTCCGAGCCGCCAGCCCGGGGGCCACACCACAGTTCCCCACTGTTGCTGGTGGTATTGTTTCTTAGCTTTCCAAGGGTTCAGCTTGTCATTTCTCTAAAGCATTGAATGCATTATTTAAAAACTGCTCTTAGAGATTTGTAGCTCACACTTGTATTTGAGATTAACAGAGATTGTGAAAAATCAAAAAATTTGCTGAGATCTCCAATTTAAAACTTTTCCAAAAAAAAAAACTGTTTTAAGTCGATCAACCTTTTTCTTATTGTAATACAAAAACACTGAAAATGCTTTTAAAGCAGGGGTGGTCCAAAGCTTTCTAATTTTTCTCTAAAGCCTCCTAACAACTTTAATGGCTTTTCCCGCAGCCTCTTCGATGCTGTATACTCGTTGATCAAAAATAAAATCCACAGATTGCCAGTTATTGACCCTATCAGTGGGAATGCACTTTATATACTTACCCACAAAAGAATCCTCAAGTTCCTCCAGCTTTTTGTAAGTAGTTTTTAGTGTTTTTAAAGAAATATTTACTTCAAGTAAATTGGCTCCTGTTTCCCTCAGTAGAAGAAATTGTTAGCTTTGAGGTCTCCATTTCTAAACTTCAGTTTCTCAGCTTACTACTACTTGGATTGTACATTCTCAAAGTTGGTTCCAATTAAAAAGCAATCACCTGTCAGTGCAAGTATCAAAATAACTGAAAAACTGGAATTCTCTATTTAAATGAGAATATTTTACCACCTAAACCATGAGGGCAATAAAATAGTTTGCAAGTCAGTCTAGTTAACAGAACTGCTATACAAAGATAAATTGAGCCAACATTTATAGCAAGTTGCCTTACGGTGCTTCACTGGTATCAGTTTTGGAAACCTATTCAAAAAATACTGTGCCCAGGATTGTATCACTAGCAGCAGTAATAGAAAAACCCAAAGCAAATCAACTGTGGCGAGAGGATACCATGTTGGTCCAAATTAGGGCTGTGTTTTCCTTAGGTTTTCTCCACTGCGTGTGAAATGAGACGGCTTCATCATCATTCCAAGCTTAGAACCTGCTTGTCAGCAGTACCGAGAGAGGCTCAGAAGGACCAGAGCATTTTCAAGAGTGTGGTGCTTTCAGTTGCAGTCAGGGATCTGAGACTGAGTAACTGGTCAGCCAGGACCAGTAGGAGGCCTCATTCGTAGGTCACGAGATGATTTGGAAAGCCCTTTTTTTTTTTTTAAGAAAAAAATGTACATCAACTTAGGTTTCCCTCTTCCTTCCCTACAGCTTCAGGTAAGGGAACACGATAGCCTTTAGGGGAAGCCAGGAGCCAGGCTGCTGGCCCAGGGGTGCTGCCCCGCTGACTGGACAGAAGCACAGAGGGGTCAGTGATGAGGGAAGTGCCTTGTCCATCAAACCAAGCCTATCTTCCAGTAGTTTACATGTAAATGTAACACTCTTCATGGTTAAATAAATGCCAAGAAAAGGTAGGAAGGAGAATAGGAATTTACGAGAAAGCATGAAGTTTGGTAAAGTGGCAGTGCAGGGAGGGAGACTGAAGCCTCAGTGATGTTGGGGTCAGACTTGGCATCTGTCCTGCAGGCACTTAGTCACCTCAGCAGTGCAACTTAACAGGGCCCAGGGTGGGTGGCGGGTTCAGGCCGTGCCAGGCTTAGCCCACCTACCTGCTAGTCACCTTAAATCTCAGCCGTGAGAGCTCAACCCTGCTAAGCACTTAGGATGTGTCAGGCACTGTCGTGCCTCAGGTGACACAACAGTCCTCCTGCACCCTCTCAGGTAGGTCTTTTTATCAGTCCCCTTCGGTGGGTGATGAATCTCAGCAAGGCTGACAGCCTTTGCCACGTTACCGCTGGCGGCAGCGTGGCACCTGCCCCTGCAGCCTCTCAGCCTCTAAGGCTCTCCCGCCCCCCCAGGCCACACTGTGGTTCTGTGTAGAGGCACCTGGCTCGGGGTGAAACATGCCCCAGTGTCCCAGCTGTTACGGTCCTGGCCCATTTTCATGGCTGCACTGCCGCAGGGGAGCAGGAACAGTTTGAGACAAGCCTTTGGGATCTTTCTCTTCTGTAAGAAGTAGAAGAGGGTGCCTCTGCCTTATATTTGGGCCAATATGGTAATTAGAATCATGCTATTAGAATATTCAGCTAGAGGTTTTCAGAGAAAAATACAGAACTTTAAATAAATTTCAGAACCTGACTTGTACTGAGTTGAGATCATTTTCCGAAAGGAAGCAGCATTACCCTGGAGAAGTTTGGCAGCCAGCCTAAGCGGACAGTGCGGAGCAGGGCTTATCCTGCGTCAGGGTGGCCTAGATGACCTAATAGGTCTTTCTTTTTTTTCTCTAAATTTCTAGGATTCTCATGATTTGAATATTGATGAACTCTTTGACTTGAACATTTTGTTTCTTCTAATTGTTCATCTTTTCCTGATAATTATAAGGTACACCAGGAGGATGGAATCGACTATACCCTTTATAAAAGGTGGATCTTTGAAACCGTAGACCTTACTTTGTTTTAGTCAAACACCATCCTAGACTTCTCTGGCTTCTCCCTCCTCCTTTAAAACAGCCTGTGAAAAGAAAAGTGAACTTTTAAAGGTTCTTGTGATTCTGTTCAGTTGGCTTGTTCTTTGTTCCCAGTAGAAACAATTGGAGCCCCCCAAAGGAGGGTGCGGGGTGTGAGGTGGGATGATGTGAGGACTAGCCTAGCAGCAGCTCAGACAGGCACCTCGAAACGCTTAGAGTTTGCAAATGTGTGGGTTCTTGGTACTATTTAGGGATGACCGCAGGCCCAGGAACTTAATGTGAATAATCAAGAATAAAGGATTCTTGGTGGCTCACAGGTCTTACTATGCAAACAGACCTGTTGTTGCCTTCTGTCCACTTTCTCAGCGGGTAATGGGGAAAATGTTACGTTACCGCTTTGTGTATTTCACTAAGCACAGGCATATAAGCTGGTTTGAAGAAAAGATACAATTCTTATATGTAGTATTTTCATATTAATTCCACCTTCTAAGTAGAATGTTAGAGGAGACTCATTCGTTGTACATAGTTTTTCATTCAACTGTGGACATGTGAACATTAAAAAGGTCTGTCTTGGCTCTAGAGCATTGGTATTTCTCTCCCCGTTTAGATGTCTGATATGCCAAAGCCTGCCTTCATGAAGCAGAACCTGGCTGCCCTTGGCATCGGGACGTACCACAACATCGCCTTCATTCACCCGGACACGCCCATCATCAAAGCCCTGAATGTCTTTGTAGAAAGACGCGTGTCAGCCTTGCCTGTTGTGGACGAGTCAGGTCTGTGGGTGCGGCCATGCGGCTGAGCAGAAACAGCCTAGCCTATCAGATAAGTGGGGGAGAGGAAAATTCAGATAACAGTGAATAAGCTCGGCACTAAGCAGCACTCGGGGTGATAACAACGTTCAACTGGTTTACCTTCACGTTTTCCGTTACAGTGTGATCTCATGTCCATATTAAAAATAGACAAGCTAATTTTATTAAGCAGTATTTAACTCCTAGTGACTGCTTAGTTAAGATTGATTTTAAATGTTCCTTTTTGTTTCTAAGACATCTTTCTAACATATATTTTCATTTTTAGGAAAAGTTGTAGATATTTATTCCAAATTTGATGTAATTGTAAGTATTTTCATTCTATTAAATCCATCATCTAGAATGCATTTAAAACATATTCATTAATCTGTTTTTGTTTTTTCCCCTAATTTATTTATTCCTAGTTTTTTGGGTATGAGGATCTTATCAGAGAATTCTAGAGATTCGTATAATAATTGTGCTTTTAATGTTCATTGGTTTAGCAGCAAGAAACAGTTATAAAACAATTTTGTAATGGTCTTTTCAGGACACAGCTATGGTTTATCCCTGCAACACGTGCACATATTTTAAATGGTCATCTTTCTGTGTGGGAGATGTCACTCTGCCAACAGACGTGTTCAGTACACACAGGAAGTTGTGGATTCCTTGTCTCATACTTCCCATTGTTTGCTGATAGGGAACACCCTTTCTCAAGATGACAGCAACTGTATTACATGGCATTAGAGAAAGTCCTGTTTTTAATTCCTGCTTTAAATCTACAAGGTTGATTTTGGTGCTGCATCTTTCCAGTCCATCCTTTTCCCCCCAATCTTACTAAATGCACTTCCTTAGTTTTACAGTATTTCTGAGAAAGGTACCCTGAAACTTTGATAGCCCCAAATGCATACACCATTTTTGCCATAATACTGACTCCAGCATTAAATACTATTTTGCAGCTGTCTCAGCCCTTTTGTTTCACCCTGTTAACATAACAGACACCAAAAAATACGCCAGTTGGGATTTGTTGAGTGGAACCCTCCAAGATTAATCAGAACCCAAGAAACCATTCAAATCTACGGGTTTATCTAGCCTGTTCTTCCTCCGTGATTACTTGATCCTAATGGGTCTCCTGCAGGCTTCTGAGCAAAAAAACCTTGTGTGTTTTTTTTTGAGCCCCCAGTAGGGGCTGGGGCTCAGAAGAACAGCCCCTTGCTGCGGGTTTTCTAGCCCTGCAGCACTTCACACCCTTCACAAATGCTAGTCTACCTCTCAGAAGACTTCATTCACTCAGGGTATAGAGCCGTAGAGGGTAAGAAAGGGGGACTCCTCGGGAGGATGTGCAGTCACAGTTAGCCAGGTGCTCGATGATTCAGGTGTGCTTGTACACTTTCACTGTTACTGAGAAGATGGAAAAACAGGACTAATGACATATAAGCTGTGGTACTAAATTAAGGTCAACACTGATGTTTTTTAAAAATCGGGTTGCTTTAAGCTTACTGAATTTGGGTCATTATTAATGTGAACTGAGATGAAAGGATATAATTGTTACTTTATTACAGAACCTTGCTGCTGAAAAAACATACAATAACCTAGATATCACAGTGACCCAGGCCCTTCAGCACCGTTCGCAGTATTTCGAGGGTGTGGTGAAGTGCAGTAAGCTGGAGATACTGGAGACCATCGTGGACAGGATAGTGAGAGCTGAGGTGAGGCGGCTGGGCCAGGCGTGTTCCCCCACCACCACCACCACCCCCTGCCCTGATGGCGCCACGGAAATTGTGAACCACATGGCAGGCCAGGGGGCAGCCCTCAAGTTCAGGTGCATGGCCCGGTGTCCCTCTTCTGCAACCTGGCACATCACTTGGCATGTAGGTCATCCGTAAATGTTCACTGCGTTTCATCTCTAAGTCCTAGTATCATAGTTGAATCAAATAGTGAGATACTTCCATGGTTTAAAAAGATACACTTGAGAAAATAGCAGGCCAAGAGCTCTGAGCTCCTGGAGAGTGTCTGAATTTAAAGTTAAAAACTTGTCATTACATGGGTTTAACAAAAGGAACAATAAATCAGTCAATTCTGATCTTTTTTAAGTTAATTTCCTCTCTTCCGTCCAGTATCTCTCTCCCCTGATAGAGATAAGTCGATGGTCTAGCCTGACCTCAGCACTCCTGTCTCCTTGTACTTACTGCCTATAGGATTTTTGCATCTACTTTGCGTAACACTGTATCTGACTCAGTATACCCAGCCCCCAAATCATCCCTTTCTTGTTAGACAGGAGTAGGAATGCTACCCCGCTTTCCACTCTTAAGGAGTGCAGGATGCAACCACTTCCTTCTGGAACAACCTGTAATTAGGCAAAGTCAATTCATGAGTCTGCATTGATGCTTTTTATTATAAATGCAGGAGTGTGGTCCAAGAACAAAAGGACCCCAGTCTTGTTTAAGCAAACCTTCACATGCTTTCTGCAAGTTACACGCAAGGCAGTGGGTGACATCAGAACACAGCCTCCCTTCCAGGAGAAGCCAGCAGGCCTGCCTTCGCGACGGAGTGCTGAAGGGTCCGTGGCACTGCCGGCTCACCCGCGGCCAGGCCCCCAGCCTCCGCTGCCAGGCTGACAACACGTTTCACCACAATCTCCAGTCTTTCCTTTTTCTGCTTGAATCTACCATACGTCACTACTTCTTTTCCAAAGAGTTTTAACTGGCTTAGGAACACATCTTAAGTTTTTATTAGTGACCTTTGAATTACATACCTTTGTGAAGATCATAAGCAGACATAAGTAAGGTATTCCATCCTAATTTATAAAGACAGTGGACATCCATATGATAGAGTGCTTTATAATGATTAAAAATCATTTTATGGAGAGTATTAGATATAGAAAAACAATGTATTGCTAAGAGAAAAGGCCCAGTAGCATATATAGTATGATGGTGCCAGTAGACGTGTGTATGTGTAGAGGGCCATGTGCTGCAGTACTGACCGTGCTGTCTGCGGCTGCCAGAGGCCTGGGTGGCACGGGGCGCATGGAGAGGGCAGCATGCTCTGTGTCCCTGAGCTCTCTTGTTTGAGTGTTCATCACTCTCAGAAAAAAAGTAATTGGCTTGTCCTTTAAGTTCATCTGGTGACCAGTAGAAATGTCACTGTAATATGGAATAGGTCATTGAGGAAAATAAATAGATGTAATTAAACAGCTCAGGTTATCCATCTTGACCTTTTTCCTCATTAAAATAATTTTTCACCAGGTGATTCCTCACTGGAGGACACAGACTGGTTTTAAGACCAGTTTTTAGCTTCAACATAGTTTGTTAAGAGAAGGGTATATGGTGTCAGCAATGAATCAGTGTATTTATATGACAAATATTGTACTAGCTTTTAGACACCTCAGACAAGTAACATTCTTAAGTTTAGACTCAGCAACAGAGGAGAAGAAAATATTTTTGGTAGTCATTTCTGTGTAGTAGAATTCTGTGGATAAGATGGTTTCCCCTTGACAATTAGTTCAAAAGATAGTTATTTGTCGTTATTGAATGTTAACGAAATCTCTCTAGTATAGAATATAAAGCATTCTGATCCTAGATGTAAACCATCATTATAATTATAGTAATAATTGTGTTATATCACAGGATTATCAAAGAATGTGAGATTTTTTTAAGAGAAACTTTTAAAAGAAATGTATATTGATTGGCATAAGATCACAAGATGATTCTTTTTAACTTGAAGCAAGCTACAGTGTTGGAAGCCTCACCGCACAGTATGACTAGAGACAAAATATAAAGACAGTTCCCCCCACCCTGCCCCGTCTCCTTCCTGTGTCCCCTACCTGGTAGGGAGAGCGACTGTTCCGCCTGAAGAGGAGGCCCTCCACCGTGAACCGATGGCACGTGGTTGCCTCAAGCCTCAGTTCTAAAACTTTCACATCAGAGAGGCATGGTGTTGTGCCTCTCCTGGTTTAAGGAGGCTCTGTTATGGTGATACCTCAGAACACGAGCCATTCCTTTATAAGAGCCTT